ATTGATATATACCAGAGAAATTAGTATGTCCAATCCCATATTTGTTAAGCCCTAGTATATGGAAAACCAGAAGTAGGAATGATATATAAAGCAATAGCTAGATCCAAGTGATACAGACAAAGTGAATTTTTTCCCTACTCTCAAAGAGCCTACTGGAGGGAAATATGTCCTTTCAATTAATCAGTCAACATTTGTTAAGCGCTTATTATGTGTCAGTCTCTGTACTGCTATCCTTTCTACATCAGTGACTACCAGGGAAAAGATACCTCAAGGTATTCCCCTTTTCTCTTAGCACTTCGGATTTCATTTTCTTCTTCTCTCATCCCTAAGTATCTAGTCCCTTATCTCTAGTCCCTATTTCTCACCTTGCCAAGGCAAGATCTAATGTCAAGAAGCAGTTGGAAGGGAGAAGGGAATGTTAAATTTTGAAACTGATCCTCTGTACTTTCTCCTATTAGAGCTGTTTCTTTAGGCCCTGTATTAGTGAACATCAATAACATCTCCAGCCCTGTCCTTTCTTTTCATTGTCACCCACCAACTCTGAGGTATTCTTGGGTTTCCAGTGTCACTGTAGCTTCTAAGATGAAATGCTTTGGATTGAATGAACATAGTTTTCCTATAAAATGTAGATGACTACTCTTTTGTCACTTACGAGTGACTTTCTTTTCTCATCTAGGATCTAATTTCATTTCTTTGATTCATTCAAGAAGTATTTATCAAAGCCTGCTTTGTGAAGAGGTACCTGGGAGGTACAGAGTTTAGAGGAGACACAATTCTGTTCTTAAAAAGTTTACAGGGTCATTCCAAGAAAAGCAGTAACAGTGTAGCTTCTGCTGAGGGATTTATAAACTCCAAGGAAGAAATGAATTAGACCTTATCTATGCATTACAAAGACATGAACTAAATAGAAAAGAGATAGGGTTAGTGCCTGAGGGCAGCAAAGCACTCAGCTTTCAAGTCATTTGGGATATCTGACTCTAAGCACAAATCAGGTCACCAGAACCTAGGAAGGTTATGTAGAAGGAACTAAAAGAAACATTAGACACCAGTAAGTTACTCAAACCAGGCAAGGACTTGATAACTGGTGATGAAAATGACAACATGCTGTCAGATATATCATGTGATGTAACAGCAGCGATCTAATTCTTTCACAATCATTTATGAGAATCAGGTAACATCATCATTAGCAGGAGGTTTAAGAGAAAACTTAGTGCTGGTACAATATTATCTGATGTGCACTTTTCCAAAATCCTAGGCTCATGGCCTAAAATAACAGATTCTATCCCTCAAAATACTGATTTTTTTTTAATGTTCTGACCTTTAAAAAAAATCTCCTAGCATGCAAAGTAAATTGATCTGTTTATAATAAACTGCGTTCAGCCATATGGATGATACATTTTTAAAAAAATCAAAACGTTGAGAGGATTGCATCATTGTTAGGACTAACAATGTGTTACAAAATAGCAACATTAAATTACATTAATTCAGTAAACTTTTACGGAGCACCTCCTATGTGCTAGGCCTTGTTCCAAGTGAATGTGGGAGAAGCAGACATAAATAAGATAGGCCCTGCCTTGAAGGAACTTAACTTCTTTTCCTTCTTTTTTTTTTTTTGGCTAGGTAGTTAGGTTAAGTGACTTGCCCAAGGTCACACAGCTACTCTTTTTTTTTCAAAGGCATTTGGGGTTAAGTGACTCTGCTTTTATTTCAATAGGTGCCAGCTTGCTGACCGCATAACATAATGTAACATAACTGCCTTTGATTTATTTAAGTTTACTTACTGGTCATTGTTGCTAAGTTTTACAGTGTCATTTAATAGCTGCTGTTTTGTACTTTTGCACAAAGTAGTCTTAAAAAAAAATCTAGAAAACTGTAATTGTTAATTAGCTGACCTTGGACATGTCACTTAGTCTTTAAGGCCTTACTGAGGGGCTAGATGGTCTCTGAGTTCCCTTCCAATTCTATGTCCATAATTTGTTGATGCTATGACGCTTAGTTTGGTTGGCTAATATCCAGAAGTTAGAGGGTGTGCTATTCTTCACGTACTGAGATGATATTACCAACTCAATATAAGTAGGACATACAGTTAGATTTTTATCCGCTTATGGAGATAGATTTTCAGGAACTGATTCTTGCTGTCTTGGTTTAACAGCATGTATTTGTAAAATAGCTGGCAAAGGTTAGTGGTTCCTGGTAACTGAATAATGCAGTTATGGAACAGAGAGAAACCAATTGGCCTCTACAGAGATCAGACTTATATCTTTAGCCTTATTAACATAATGCTCCCAAGTGAGTTAACTGGTCGTAATAAATGGAGGACTATTGAATATTAAATAATTGTCTAGCCACAGAAGTAGGTATAGCATAATGAAGTAAACACTTGTAACTTTATTAGTAAGAAAAGAAGAAGTAAGATGAAGAATAAAGGTTAAAGGAATTGAAAATAGTTCTAAAACAAGATTGAACTTTTAAAAAGTGGCATAAAATACTTCAGTAACTTTTGTAGAGGTTATGACTTACAATTTTTCAACCATGTATTATCCTAAGAACTATTAAAATAAATGGCAATAATATAAATAGAACAATTAAATATAGACTTAACAGCTTCAAGCCACAAGGATAGGGGAAATGAAGCATCTTTGTTTTTCATCTAAACACACCAAGGTGAGCTTAATTAAGAGTAGAAAAATGTCTTTTTTTTTGGAAACTAGAGATGCTAAGAGGATGAAAAATACTTAATAAAATGTTTTTTTTTCTTTTCTGTAGCACCTTCAAAATTTCTGGTCTCATTCCAAATGGACAAGAAACAGGAATAATTGATTTGACTATCAATTGACTTGATCATAAGCTTTTTTTGTCTATCCCACCATACAATTACATGGTTTTTATAATCTTTTCCAGGGAGCTCTGCCTGACCTGACATATATCAGGAATGAAGCCCATTAGAGTCAATGATTCTGTCCAGATATGGGATATTGAAGAGTTGGTTAGAGAAGATGGGCTTGAAGGAAAGGGGATCAAGAATAGTATAAGCCATTCTCTTACCAAACAAAAACTAGATATATGTGGCTTGAAAGAAGAGGAGGCATATTTCTTAGTCTTAAAATTCTTATATGGCTCTCTTGGCCCTCCTTCCTTTCATCCTAGAAATGCCCCTTCTAAACACATGCTGACATACTTTTAATCTTGACCAAACATTACAGTGATATATAAAAAAGAAAGGCTGCTTCTAGACTGGGTTATCCAACCACTAAGTGAAGTATTTTATTTCTGTATTTATACCTGTGAGAGTCCCTCTCTCATAACCAATTTACAAGCCCTATTCCACCAAACAGAATAGAAACACATGGGCATTAACAATAATTACGGTAAATGTGTGTTATTATTAAGAGGAAATTAGTAGATACTCAAAATACTGTTAAGTGAGGATAGCACCAAATGATTTCAGGATTATGTCTTAGCAACATTAAGCTAAGTGAAAAAGAAAATTTTGACATGCCTGTTGTGTCACACAACTCCTATGTTGTGTCAGTGACCAAGACTAGGATAGTGGGGAACAGATGGAACTAGAGGAGGCAATAAGAGGAAGGAGAGGAAGGAGAGAAATGGAAGTAATAGGAAGAAGAAAAAACAAAGAATAAGTACAGTGGTCAGTAAGGGGAGCATTACTCCAGGCCCCTGCCCAGTGAAGATCTCTCTCTCTCTCTCTCTCTCATCTCCCATTTCACCCTTGTGTCACAAAGGGACACTAAGCAACTTGGGGACAGGGTCAACAAGTATTTATGAGAAATATTATTAAATCTGGCAAATGTAATTTTAGCAGAATAAATTTAATACAGAAATAAAGGAAATAAAGCTGGAGCAAGATAGGGACTCTCCCTTCCTTCTCTTTGGTTTTTGTTTTGTTTTGTTTTGTTTTAATTTATTTTTATTTTTGCTAAGCAATCAGGGTAAAGTGACTTGCCCAGGGTCACACAGTTAGTAAATGTCATGTGTGTCTGAGACTGGATTTGTACTCAGGTCCTCCTGACTCCAAGGCCAGAGCTCTATCTACTGCACCCCCCCCTTCTTTCTCTTTGGAATGGCTTGTTTTTCTGTTAGCTCCAGCTACTGGGGAGAGCACCTATGATAAAAACAGACATAGTCACAGGAATCTCCCAGTTCCTCCCAATCCTAGAGAAGGTGACTATGGCTGTGGTAGATGCTAGCTGCTGCCCCAGTCATGCTGATGCCATGGGATGACCACTACCTTACCCCTCTCCCCATGAGCAAAAAAAATCCACTTCTCCTCTCCGACCCCTAATCTCTACCAAGAAGGCTGGGTTATTTTCCTTTCTTCCCAAAGAGGGAAGAATTATAGATCCCAGGTTGTTTTGTGGCCAGCTAGCCCTTTGCCAGGAGATTTTACAGGAATAATGCGAAAGGAACAATGAAAGAGTGTCAGAGAGGAGAGGGATGTTGAATAGTAAAAATTTCTACCGATACCATGAAGTCTTTAAGCACAAAGAAAGCTTTTGATTGTTGACATATGAAGAATCACAGAATGTTAGAGCTGAAAGGGGCCTTAGAATTAAAATTCCAAATGGAACCGTCTTTGTAATATGGGAGTGGCAAGAAATGTACACATTGAAGATTGATTAAAGGCAGTATTTTGATAATATCAAAGGAAATGATACATCTTTGGTTTTCTTATAAAAAAAAGTAGGTGAATTTATTTAAGCAGCTAGGTGGCACCATGGATAGTGTTGGACCTGGAATTAGGAAGCCCTGAGTTCAGATTCATTCTCAGAACGAATTCTATAAAACTTGGACTCAGTCAAAAAGCCACACCCAAGGTCCAGAAGGCTACATGTGGCCTCAAGGCTGCAGGTTCCCTAACCCAAATATACTATATATTGATTAGATAGAACTTCTCTCTAGGACCAACTCAAATGAATACTGTTTAAGAAAAGAATGCTTCATTTATAGCTAATGTCTGTCTTATCCATTTTAATTTACAGAACTTCTTTCAAATAGTTAGCAACCTTCTAGATGAAGAAAACAAGGAAAAATGGGAAGATGCACAACAGGTAAGATGGATTGGGTGCTTTAAATAATATTTTCCACTTGAAGTTCTAAAAAATAGTCTTGAAATTAAATATTTCATTAACTTTTGAGATATTAGTGGTGGGGAACAAAAGAAGGAAGAGACGAAGGAGCACCAAGCTTCAGTGGAAAGAATACTGGATAAGGAAGAAGAGGCCTTAAGTTCAAAACACTGTTTTGGCTAATTACACTGCTGTGTGGCCTTAGACAAGTTTCCCAACCTCTCTGGGCTTCAGTTTCTCTTCATAATGCAATGAGATGGACTAAATGTCTCTAGTCTACCTTTCAGATTTGATCCTATGAAATCATGCAGATTTTCAACAAGGTGATCAGCACATGACCTGATGTCACACTTTGGACTGAAGACTACTCTAGAGTACTGAAAATATTTTCCCAATTTCTGTCATTTATTTCTCTTAGGAATGAATTCTTAACAACTTTGTGCTGCGTGATCACTTTCGTCATGTTTACAGAAAGAAAAGCTGATTACTTTAAAATCAAACAGAAATACACTGGCAGGAAACTTTGACTTTGACCACCTGTATTTGGTATTTACAACTGAATTGTAATCTAATGAAGATCACCTATATAGGTTCAAAGCTTTACACTTAGCTGAGATTTATAAAAAGCCCAAACACGAACATTTGTTTTGAATTTTCTTGCCCTTTCTTCTGACTTTTAGTAGTTTAGTAGTGGCCTCATATGTCTCTGTTAAATGTATCTCTTTCCCCTGCCTCCCTTGTGCCTAATTATCAACAACAAATTTCCTTTTAAAAAGCATTAATATCAATTTTGTAGGTGTGGGCACTATCAACTTGAACTCCTACCCACCTTTAGTAGGTAACTCATGAGCTGTTATGGTCCAAAATTCACCACCTCATGGGCAGCCTTCTGAGAATAATCCTCACTGAACTTCACTAGACTGGACCTTCAATGACAAATATTCATTTGACGGCTAGTCAGGTACTTGAAGTCTATCAGAGATTGTACTCCACTGATTATAAGCCTTTCAGAAACCAGAATCAGGATCACCTCCATAAAGCATTACAGTAGAATTTTCATCAAAAGTCAGTAACTATTTAATATCAATAAATTTCTTCATCATGTAAAATATGGTGGAGGACCTACAGAGGGAAGAATTGTTATGTTAAAAATAAATATCACAGAAAGAAAAATGACTTAATTGGACTCATTTCTCCTTGCTACTATTAAATATTCATAGTTGATAATGCAAACTAAAAAATAATATTTTGTGAGCCTTTTATGTGGTATAACTCTACTGTTGACTTCATATCTACATAATAGTTTATGTTCTGTCTTCTAAAACCAAGTATAATTATTTTAATTTATTTTTGAAAGTACTTTTCAAAATCCTCTTTTCATGGAAAATTATGATTTTCTAGTAAATACATGAAAGAGATGAAATTTAAAGGAAGTTTGTCTTTTAAGTGAATTGATCCTAAAGAATATTAAAATTTAGTTAAATTCTAGAAATCCTTCCTCTAAATCATTAATGAAACCTTTAAAACCATTAATGAAAAATTAAGGCTGACAATCTTGCAATTTAATTTTTCAATCTAAACATTTTTTTTCATGGAAGCAGTGGTTGCTAGGTGAGGAAATCAAGACTTAACCAGCAGAATAATGAGAGACTAAACAATTTTTGATTCCTGCTGTGATTCATGAATTGTTTAAAATTTCATGAGACCTGATAGAGGTCATATTCAAAAGTAATCATGTAGCTCCCCTCTGGCTTCCACATTCTATGGAAGCCCTCACCTACCACATTACTAGGAGATACAAACTCCTCTTCCTAGGGAGTTAAATAATGGTTCTCTATTATGGAGAACAAAAGAGTTAATATACCAGTGCCCTGTGATATAACATTTAGTCGCTGTTGCTGAATACCCATGTTACATAGGTCTCCATTACTTCCCCTTTGATAGGATCTCTAATGATGGCCCACCATTAGGAGGTACAAATTCCATATATTTTAATTATATGTAACAACTTGCACCATATCAATAAATATTTCTTTTACTGAGATACTGAATCTCTATTTCTTTCTAGTAGTTTAAATTGTACACTTGTGTTTGACAGCCTTTCACCGGAAAACCTCATTCACTGTAAGTAAATGGTTGAGTTTCCTTCAGAATGCAGGTGCTTAGGCTAGGCACATCCTTCTTCTAGAGCACTGGAGACCATTAATTATGGGCATATTAAGAACAAATACAAACAAAGCTGCAATTCATCTGATTCTGTGACATGCTGTGAGATTCCCAACATGAACAAATGGATAAATGGGGGCAGAACTTCTATAGTCAATTTAAATCCCTAAATTCATACTCTGGTTATTTTTAATTTGGATTAATAAATAATCTTTGTCTATTGCTTTCCAGAAGAAAATGTTTAATTTATTTTTAAATAGAGATGCTAAATAGTAAAAATGTTTTGCAACTATGCTAAAAAGATACAGTATTTTACATGAAAACTCATAAACCTCCTCCCCCTAATTTCTTGTATAAAGGACTAATTAGGGATCTTAATGAGAAGACTTACCTCCAAGTTTTTCTAGGTTGATGCAATATTGATACTCTGCCTTTAAAAAAAAGAAGATATATTTCAAACCACAGCAGAATAAAACCCTTTCTGCATTTAGAAGACTCTACTACATAAAATGTTACATATGATGACATTGTTTTATGGAATTTCTAGGGAGGAAACCCTTCTAATAAACAACTTTTCTGCGACTTAGAGTCTGGAGCTGCTTGGAACACTGAGAGGTTAAGTGACTTACCCAGGGTCAAATAGTCAGCTGGTACCCAAGTCTTCCTGACTATGAGATTAATCCTCTATCTAATATAATCTGACAAACATTTATTAAGTGCCTACTATGTGCCAGGCACTGTGAAAGCACTGGGGATTCAAAGTGGAATGAGCTGAGAGTCCACTTGTTGCCCTCTATAAAGGAAGGCACTGGGGGGAGTTTGGTACTCTGCCCTCCAGTCCTCCAATCAGAGAGGAGAGGAGATTTGATTTAGTGGTGGTGAGATCTGATTTAATGATGGTAAGATTAGAAATGATGAGCTTATCCTAGGAGGGATAGCTTGGTCCTAGTTTAACCAGACAGAGCAGCAGATGCAAAGCAGGCTGAGCTGACAGTCCAGCTCTCTCTTGCCTATCCACTACTTCCCATGCATATATATAAATGGTATGTATATGTATAGAAATCAGCATTATTTGCAAGGAATTAATATTTTTTTTGAGGATGAGAAAGGAAAATGCCTTGTTTTCAAGCCTGGGAATAAAAAGAACTGAGTTCTAGCCTCAATTTTGCTACCAGTTAGTTGTTTTATCCTAATAAGCCACTTATTCCCTCTCAGCTTCCATTTTCTAATACAGAAAATAAAAAGGTTAGAGGTTAGGTGGTCTCCAAGGATCCATTTGACTCCAAAATTCTGTTATTGACCTGAAAACATGCTACACTATTATGAAAAAAGGTCATGCTCTAGAAAGTGTTCTTTTATGGACTATTGGCATTATAAGTCCCTTTGGCAGTGCCCCAATTAATTTATTTGTGTCTTTATGTGCCGTATATTCAAGTCAGTCAGAAAATGCATTTATCTGTGGAAGGATTGGCTATGCCAGTAAATAATAGTAAGTGATTTTCATGGTGGTATTTTCCAGAAGTAAAGTTTGTGGAGGTTTTGTAGGCTAATGTGATTAAGTAAAAAATCATCTTCCAAGTCTACACAAATAGTGTGCCTACTTCTACTCTGCCCAAACTCTATTCCTACTCCAGTTCCTTGGTGTCAGGACTGTGTTCTTCGCTACTCATCAGTATCTCTCATAACCTTCTATAGGGTTTTGCAAATCCATATAATCCAATCTGGAAATAAATCACTTATTTTAGAGAGAGTCAGAAGCTGGCAGTGAAGAGTAAGGACAGGGATAAGTGCAAGGTTGATTATTTCATTGATATAGGAAACTCCTAGATGAAGAAATTTCTGCAACTAATGCAGGTCAGCACCTTGTCTTTAATATATAGTTTTAAAGAGTTGCTTAGAGTACTGAGAGGTTTTGAGTTGCCAAGAGTCACACAGCCAATATGTGTCAGAATTGGGGCTTAAACCAAGGTCTTCTTAAACTCTGAAATCAGTTCTCTGTGCATTACCCCATTCTGCCTCTTGGTGAAGAATAACCAATGCAAAATATCTAACTTCAAACATTTTTCCTCCATATAACTTATCAATCTAGATACTATCAGATAAAAGTAGTGACCATTAAGGATAAAATACTATTTTATTAGTCATACGTACTAAAAGCTAGCAATAACAATAATGATTATGGTAATACCAACAACAAATAACTAGCATTTTACATATCACTTTAAGGTTTGCAAAGTACTTTACAAATATTATCTCATTTTATTTTGGCAACAACCACCTATATCCTATTTACACCTATGTATAACTATATCCCTATTTTAGAGGTGAGAAAACTGAGGCAGACAGAGGATAAGTGACTTTCCCAAGGTCACAATGCTACTAAGTATCTGAGGCTGGATTTTGACTCAGGTCTTCCTGACTCAAAGTCTAGTACTCTACTCATTGTGCCATGTAGCTGCCCCCCTTATTTTCTACTAAGACTCTACTTTTGTTGGCATCAGCCCACTTTTAGGAGAAAAAAGGGCATTTTGTTACACAAATTTGGGAAGGTAAAGGTGAATTCCAAACTTACTATATTATATTTGCTTTGTTTTTGAAAGTGAGCGCTCTCCTTTCCTTTTGTTCTCCACGCTACCTGTGAGCAAGCATGACTTACTAAAATTAAAAGCTAAAATTAAAGATTCAGAGTTGTTTTTCTCCAACGCTGTGTTTAAGCAATTGCAATAACAAGAAATCCATCAACAGCTATTTTTGTTTGTTTGACAATCCTTAAATGCGTTGCTTTTTTTTTTATCGTGGATGATTAATCATTGCTACACACTGCTATAAAGTTCCACTTACTGTGATAATGCTGGCATCTTTCCTGTTAATAGCTCGAAGTCATTGGTTCACAAACTTTTTTAATACCAAACAGTTTTTTACATATTCCAAGTCCTTCTTAAAATAGAATGGAGATTTGTCCTTAATGGTTCTAGATTTATAGGAGGTAGTGCTATTTTTCATATGATTTTTGGTTGTTTCTGTAGATCTACCCAGGCTCCATAGAATTAATGCAGGTGATTGAAGATTTTATACACATTGTTGGAATGGGGATGATGGACTTTCAGAATTCATACCTAATGACTGGAAATGTAGGTAAGAAATAGGAATATATTTTGACAAACTCATACTTTTACTGAAAATCACAAATTGCAAGTATGCGCTCTATACATTGTCATGCTTAATGTGTGCAATTTGCATAGGTCTATATACCCAGGAATATCTCAGTACATATGCCACAGCTAGTTTGTATCTGTGCTTTATCCTCAATATATATGTAGTGAGTATAACTCATATTACATATTGATTATGTGTATTTATGTGGATTGTAGACATATGTAGACATATGTATCTATAAATACCTAATCTACTACAATCCGTTTTTTTTTAAAGGTGAGAAAAACTAAGGAGATTTCTTAAGCATTACTTAAAGATAATATATAGCATATACAATATACATATATGTATATATACCTAGTTTTTAACAAATGCTTCCTATCACCACATGCAAAACACACATGTATGTGTGTGTGTATACATATATATATATATATAATTGAAGAGGCGCATATATATGTGTGTTCACATGTGTATATTATCCATAGGCATGGCACATGTATTCTGGTACTCCTGCCTATGATTGTCTAATTTAATTTCAGTGTATCTGCACAATGCAGTTGGTAAGTCTTCATATTCTTCCTTACAATGTGACTATAAACTTTAATTATTTGGCTTCAATTATCTTCCTCAAGTGCTGATTCTCTATATATTAAAGAATTTTTCATATATTTACTTAATGTCTCCAGTATTACTGCAGTCATGGAGGTTTTCATGACCTGCTTCCCAAAACTCTATGAATCCCTCAGATCCCTCTAAACTAGTTATGCATTCATTTAAAGAGTAATACAGTATAAGAACCTATAAAATTCAGAACATATTTTTTCTCATAGTGAGTTGTTTTTAGTATTATATATTCTCCAGTGGGGTTTAGTCACACCATATAGTAACACAGATAGTTGTATAGCACCATAATTACATCAAGAGTCAACTGATAGTTATAATAACCAAAATGTACCTTCTATTCCCAGTGTTAGAGCCAGCAAGGACAAATAAATTATCTTCTTAAATGCTATACATACTGAGTTAGGAATATAGTAATTCCATTTTTATGTTTCTTGTACCCTCCTTCTATGACTATGCATAGAATAATTTACCAGTTGTAAAACCTAAGTTACTAGACTCTCCTAGTTTGTTTGTGTTTTTATGTAGTTAATGAAGAAACTAAAACAAATATGTAGTCATATCTTGAGAATTATAAGTGTACCAATTTCAAGCCAAGTCTCTAACTAAAGCTGATTTTCTATTCAACGACATGCAAAAATTACATATGTGTGTATGTATGTATGTGTGTCTGTGAGTGCAGGTTTTTATATGGACAAAAGAAGCTCTTCACTGGTGGTGAATAGGGAGGTAGGAAAAGTAGTAGTACTAATATTATTATTCATTAGCACCAGTTGGCTAATCCAAGATTCAAAAGCAATCATTTTCCTGCATAGTCAACAATTAACCAAAGAAATGTTGAATTAAAATACTTAGATAACATTATCAAGACACATTTCTAAAGCATTTCCTGGCTCATTTATACAAGAATGTACATCAGTCACACTCCCTCCTATCTGAGAACTATTAATCACATACACTCATTCCTGTCACTTATGGTGGTGTCTTACTCCCACTTCTAGAACATAGGAGAGTGAGTGTCATTTATCTCTGTACCTTGTATATAGTAGCGACTTATTAAATGTCAAATTCAGCTGAATGAAATGGGAAATAAAGAAGTCACTTATCTTCCAGTTTTTAGCTTCCAATAGCCTTCTGTTACTCAAATACTCAAATGGTTCTATGATCTCATCAGGGTGGATATTCTGTTCAGGAATGAACATTGTGCCCCTGCCCATGCAGGATTCCTCTCATCTCTATCCCCATAGAAGTTCATGAAGGATGTACCCAACATACTAAGGCCTTCCTCACTTTCTCTAAAGAAGGATGCCAGTGAAATGCAAAAGCTGGCTATCAGTTATTCCTCATTCTGGCCATCTAAGCAATGTAGTTTTTTTAAACGTAAATTCTTTTGGTGACCTATTTTTTTCCTCTTTCTCTTTAATAGTTCTTTAATTGTTCCATGTTGTAGTTTACCTTTCCATTGCCTTCTGAATTATACTAGTTTATGACTTACAATCACCCTGGTAGATTATTTATTGGTACTAAAAAGTATAGCTTTTGTTTCAGCAAGAAATGTATGGTCAATACAGGAGTTTTGAAATTTTTCATAGTCCAAACTAATCTCCTCCACCAACTCACTCTCCATTTTCAATGTCTTTCCAAGGTATATTTTAATGAATGAGCCCTGTGGATTATATATCTATCTCTATGCTATAGTATAGAGCCTAGACTAGACAATAGGCATTCTTCATCCTCTTGATTTTTCTTACGTGGATAGTTAGGCCAAATTTTTCTTAGTGGTTATAAATCTTATTCAGGAGACTCAACGGTGTTCTAGGGATTGACTGAAATACTAAGTTATGCCAAAGGGCAACATCTGAATGACCTCTCTTTGCCTTCCAACTTAATCTCTGTGCTAGATCTCCTCCATGACAGTGTTGAACACAAAACATATATCTCCCAATTTTATGTCTTATAGGATACTAAATATCAGAAGGTCATCAAATAACATTTTCTCCATTAAGCTCTCTGGAATATTGTAAACTTTGTATATATGAATGGGAAGTCACTTTATTGGAAGAAAGTCTTTAAGATAGTGTTTTGTTCAAAAGAGGATCATAAAGGAATATTGAATTCTGTTGTGTGATTTTAAAAAAAAATCTTGCCTGTTTCCTACTAATATCTTGATCAAGGATTTCTTCAGGACATGCATGTTATTTTCATAAAATGCTCATATAACTCAGAAAAGGGACATAGAGATCTTAAACATCTTTTTTGATATTAATAAGGCCCAAGATATTTTCTGTACCTTTGGTATTTCTCCCACCTTCATATACCTCATGAATTGATCCATCAATGATTTTATAGTTACATTAAACCATGCACAGATCGTCTTTAAGCACATTTGGTCAGTTGCTTTAATACATTATTCTTGTGTCTGTATGCATTTAATTTTTGAATAGTAGTTAAAGTAATCTTTATTTGTTATTGTTGTTCAGTAATTTTCAGTTGTGTCCAACTCTTTGTGACATCATTTGGGATTTTCTTGGCAAAGATACTGGAGTGGTTTGCCATTTACTTCTCTAAGTCATTTTACAGATGAGGAAACTGAGTCAAACAGGGTTAATTAACTTCCCCAGAGTCACAGAGCTAGTAAGCATCTAAGACTGGATTTGAGCTTCCTGACTTCAGACCCACCACTCCATCCAGTAATAAACTATAAAAAAGGATAGGGGATTAGCATGTGGTTCTTGTCACTGGCACATGTTAGTCCCTCAAATTAATTTCATGAATCTACATTAAGTTTTCTAAAATTCAATGTCTATTAGGATGCAACGAAGTCCAGTTAAGCCTTTAACTTGTGAACTTGTAGCATAGCTTTAAGTGGTTTGACTAGAAGTACCCAGTGAATCTATAACAGAAAGTTCTTATTCGTGTAGAACCTTTTTTCTCCCTTTGTGAGTCATTATGAAATAGTGATCACATAACACTCAAATCCAGTGTTTCTTTCAGAAAAAGAAACAGGAAAGAAATTGATCATATAGTTAAGCAATTTTGTTGATAACGAATTCTGAAACAGACCCTTTCATATTAATGCCCAAAGTCATGATGTGGGAAATAGCCCAGTATTAACTGGTAAAAACAAAGCACACATTGAAAGAGGAAAAGTCATCTTTCAAAACTCAAAAAACCCATGTAAGTGAGTAGAATAGGGCAGTATGTAAAGTGTGGTATGTCAAGTGTGGTATGTAAAGTGTGGTATGTCAAGTGTGGTATGTCAAGTACAAAATTAGTAAGCTAATATTAATCAGTATACCAGAAAAAATTTGAAAAGCATCTTGTGAGGCCCTACAAGGGACCTGACTGGTTGGTTTTTTGTTGTTATTGTTGTTTTCTTTTAGGCAATTGGGGTTAAGTGACTTGCCCAGGGTCACACAGCTAATAAGTGTCAAGTGTTTGGTCTGAGGTCAGATTTGAACTCAGGTCCTCCTGACTTCAGGACTGGTGCTCTATTCACTGTGCCACCTAGCTGCCCCGACCTGACTGGTTTTTAAGGCAAGTCAAGGAAAAGAAGTCAGCTGCAGCATCATTGAGATCACTTGATAATAATTGACTAGATGGTGCTGACACAGATGAAAATGAGGTCACATGAATGAAGGAAGATGGATCCTAAAAATTTCTATGGAGACAGGGATTTGAGCATAGATAGGTTTTGAGGTACAGGAAACCTAGAAAGAAGCATTTTGATTAACTGGGTTAAAGAAGAGAAATCTAGACCAAGACAAGGCCAGTAAAAGCTGACTTTCTTGGACTATGAAATTGGTTAAAGGATGAACAATGTAACTATTTTCCTCTTAGTTTCATTTTTTTTCCTTTTGACTATCAACTTTTCTCAATATTTCTGCCTTCCTCTTTCCCTCTAGATTAGGAATTCCAAGGTTTGTGTGGATGTATTTCAAAGAGTTTGTGAACTTAGATGGGGAAAAATTATATCTTTATTTTTTAGCAATCTTTTTTCTGAAATCCATCATTTTCTTCAATTATACCTTTATTTTTTAGAAAAAATTATTCTGAGAAGTGGTCTATAGGCTTCAGCAAACCATCAAAGGAGTTCATGATATGAAAAAAGGTTGAGTCTTTTTCCTAGGTGTTTCTTCTTCCTTAACTTCAGCAGAAATCAATAAATATTTCTATAGCACATTGAACATTGCCTCTCAAGTATAAAAAAACTATTTCAGTTTCCAGGATTTCTATGGGTCCACATACACTCAGCATCATAGCTCATAAACCACTGTCTGTGTAATTACTTTTACTAGTCAGCCAGATGACTGAATTAGTTTGAAAAAAAAAAGACAAATTGTTTGAAAAACAGC